TAAAATATAAAAATAAAAATAATTATTTAATTTATTATATAAAATAATAACTAATTTAATTTCAGCAATTACTATTCATATATGTACTTATATCTATTATTAGAACATAATATACGTTGTGAAATAAATCTAAAGCTAATAAAGGAGAGGCACGTAATAAAATTTGTTTTATTTTATTTTATGTGTGTTCAATTTTAATATAAAGTATGTCCCGAAATTTGCAAATTAAAATATTATAACAAGAAAAAATAAGTAAAAATGTTATTTATAAATTTTTAGCTTAGTTTTTGAAGTATAAGGATTATAGGCAATTACAGATTGTGTTTAGAAACAACTGTTTGTTCATGAATCGCACGCGTGCAATAGTATTAGTGAACACTGGTGAGCGTGCTTACTAATAATACTCACACAAGTATACCTACCTAATCATTATGTAAAAAATTATTGCTTAAAATAAAAATTTGCAAATAACTTTTTTACTTAATTTTTTAAGAATTTTTTAATTATAGTATTTTCATGAATCTCGATCTCTATACATGTATATAATTAATTTTTATATATACATAATAAATGGCTAATCTTTTTTTTTCTCTAACATATCTCGAAATATTTTTATAAAATTTGGATATATGCTAATAGAGGAGATAAGATGATATAGATCTAATCCCAAACAGAACAAAGTCACGATAATGTCAAAATGACATTAAAATGATTTGGAAATGATTGAAAAATTACTTTTAATAATCATTTTGGAGTCATTTTGATATCATAATGACTTGTTGTTTCATTTAGGATATGGCTTCTCTTAATGACTCTGCTATTAAGTGGCGAATTTTAGCAATTACTTATGGAATTATTTGCTTAGTAGCTCGCTGTTTCAGCACAATGCTAATATATCAATACACAATAGTCAGCGTTTACTATAACATATTTTTATTTTCAAATATTTTGAAACATTTTTAAGATATACTTTAGCATTTAATTACGCATATTTCCCCATTTTTCTTAAACTTGAACGTATTGTATTATCACATGATATATACATATGATATATATGTATGTTTGAATGTGTTGTTTGTTTTTTAACATTTTATTTGGTTGTATAACATTTCGAGTTATGCAAAATAAAATAGTAGTATGACATTTTGCTAATATGTACTCTCTAAATATATTGATTATTGACAGTTTCTTTTTCGAAGTTTTCATATCAAAATATTTATTCCATAAATCGATTGCAGCTCCACTACAATCTATACAGTTTACATTATATGTATATAGATTTTTAGCATTGAACAGTCTATATGCTGAAGGAATTATGTGTACATACATACATTTGCATAATTTGAATACATATACTCTTCTATATATATTTTACTTTTTTATTAATTTTATAATTCTCGTTTTTTTTAAGCAAAATCAATTTTTTTAATTTATTTTTGTGAAAAGCCATATTACCTCTATTTCTTTTCAAGCGATTATGCAGTATATTTTTTATAAATAACGTCCTAAGTAATAAATATTAACTTTGAATCTAGAATCGATTGAATAACATTTTGACAAATGTAAATGTTAAGCTTTAAATTCAAAAATTGATTGTTAATCAAGTTATTGTATAAAAAATAAATGAGGTGCCATAATACCACCTTTTCCTCTAATAATTTGTCAAAAATGAATTGTACATATACTACAGAATAATTAATAAAATGTAATTTATTATGTAGCATACATAATAAAATTTTATTAAAGCTAATTGAATTTAATCGACTTTAATCCTTTATCTCAATGCGCTTAAATAGCAAAATATCAAAATTTTTTTTTTATTTTAACGATTGCAAGGCATCAGCATACTTCAAAAGAAAACGCATTTAATTTGAAATACGTGGGGACATTCATATTGAAACTTATAGAGTTTGTTTATACTGTAAGTGTTTATGGTTCGACTAATGGTTGCATTAATTAATTCGAG